AAATAGCTGGAATTATTCTGTGTAGGTTTTTGATTGTTTAATAATAAAAATTATGTGTTAAGTAACGATTGTTTGCTTTTTAACATTGTCTAATAAATCATATCCATTACTTACTTTCAACGACATTTTGAATACTATGATTAATAATATTTTATTTCATGAAAGTTTGTGAGTACTTTTTCGACTTCGTTTCCAGCACTACAAGAATATACACAAAGTTATTTATTGCGTCGTTTATATATGTATTATGACTTTTAAATAATGTGTTCTTTGAATAGATATATTGCTATGGCACCTTCCCAAATATATGGAAATTGACATTAATATAATTAATTAATTTTTAAAGTAAATAATAAATGTTGCGAGGCTGTATTACATTAAAGACGGATAACTGTTAAAAGCTCAATAAATTGAGCTATTTCTGATGTACTTCGTTTTCAAAATTTTAACTCAAGTATTTAGAAAATTTACATACATTGAAATGGAGTTCGAGAGCCATTCGTCTAATCTTCACTCGGCTTGTTGCTCAACTTCACCTCAGTGATGAAGGAATAATTCAATTGGTAAAGAAAATAAAAATGTTTCCTTTCCGCTGGCAAATTTAGTCATTTCATATTCTTTTAAGGTTGCAAATTATGTAAAATAAAACCCCAGTATTAAGAACTATTTGGGGGTGTAGTGTGCTCAGTTTCGGAAATGTTCGAATTATTCGAAAAAATATACTGTACATATACAAAAACATCTACAGGATTAACCGACAAAATGCAATGAAGCGTGTGATGTGCGAGAATAGTATCGTGACGTAGCAATCGCATCACATAATCCCATCGCATCATCATTAAAATTTAGTTCCTTATGGCAAAAAGTTACCGATTTTGCAAGTTACTCTAAGTGATAATTACTGCTCCATAACCATGTGATATACACGTAGTTACCATTTCAATGAACGTTTCATTTCGACAACTTGTGTTTCAACAATTACTTGTTCCGTTCTACATTAATTAAAAGACCCCCTTTTTTACACTACGCCTAATCATTTTATTTATGTTGTTTAGTTTTTCCTCTACCCCAAATGTTGTTCGGATTACACGAAATTTTGGATTTGCGGGATTCGGTTTAGCGAGGTCCAACTGTATCTGCATTTCTTAGAAGTAGCATCGCCAATTACTATATACATGATACACACAATTTTATGAATTCGTTGTATTGTGTGTCGAAGTATTATATTGGAATTATTGTAACCGAAACGTAATACAAATAGTAACAAAACTATATTTTGTGGAAATAACTAAAGGGGTCGGGAGAAAGTAGTGCTAACCTACATTTCATAAATATAAACTAAAAGTCTTAGAATGTCTCTTAAAATACAACATTAGTATCCAAATGCCGAACAAAAATGTTCATAAAAGTAGATAATGTGTTTAGAAAGCAGCCAGAAGTGTATGTAGAAAATAATACACATTTTATTGATGCTCCTCTGGCTGTCAAAAATTGGTTTAGCACTGTTTCCCGACCTCTTCAATTGTACAAGACAAACATTAATTTCTTTATTAATAATCTTACGATCAGTTAAGTGGCAAATATTCATGAGCATAATAATTATTTTTTATGTTTATGATTTCATTATTGTTATTATTATTATTAATATTACTATTACTTTTTATTTTTTCGTGAGGTTCGTTTTTATTTTACTCTCCACAGAATACGAGAGGTGATTAACATACTTCGTAGCTTTATTTTGAATCTGTCAATGTTTAGCATTTCCTGGTAGTATTGCGAAGTGTTTGCGAAGACTTGTAGATACAATTACTTGAGTCCCTGAAAAATACTTGGGCCGTATCTGATTTAACTTGCCATATGTGACTTGCAAGACCTTTAAACTTGATTTGTTTTTCTGCGCCATTTTCAATATTTTTTCCATCGCATTAGACAAGCATCTGTTGGCAGACAGCATCCTATTGATAATTTGAAGTTGTGTCCCGCACCGGCTTGTTTCCTGAGACTCGGATGCGGATTCCCTCTTCATACAAGATCGTACTGTACTGTCGTGTGTCTCGCTGTACGTCCCAGGAAGGAAAAAGTTGCCGAATTTGGACAGGCACCTAAATTGGATCGCTCATGTATTTCTATCCGTAAGAGCGTTTGGTTCATACAAATGCTCTTCAGGTGAGTCTATCACTAGAAACAATAGAGCTAAAATGTTTAAGACCGTTGACAACTTTTTCTAGAGAGTTCGAGACATTGTATACTATTGGAAGAACTGCAAAGGCAAATTTTAGTTAAAAAACAACAATTTCGATCTAAATGGCAAATATTTAAATATTTGAAAAGAATAAGAGTGAAAAAATAAGTGTCTATTTACAAGAATATCGCGATGTAGTTGAATCTGGTTAGTGGGTCCCAAGGACATATAAAAGGGAAACAGAAGATACGGTAGTTTGTAGGTTATAATGTTTGCTCTCGAATTTAAATCAAAATCCATATTTAAGAAAGGGTATTCCCAGATAAAAGAAAACAAATTGGCTACAATTAATTGAAATTTAAGTAGTTAAATTAAAACTAACATAAAAAATGATTGTTTAAGGTTTATTAGCCCCTTCCTACCATCACCACCACCACCCCTCTACTGACAAAAAACGTATTTTTAATTTTGCTTTTTTCGTCGAATTCATTAACTTATCTAATTGAAACAATAATGATGAACAAGAAAATATATTTTACTATAAAATATAATTTTATATTTTTTCCGCGGTATAATTAAAAAACAAATTCAAATTTTAATTTCATCTGTGTCTTAGAATATGGGAGTAGGCATTAAAAAATATCTTAAAACGTCCCCTTAAAACACGGTTGTAATTTTTTCACAGTTTTTCGATCGCTGAATTGTAGTTAAAAATAAAACTAAGACATCTGTAGTAGTTACAAACAAGACGAAAAGTTGTCTATTTTCGTAGCTGAGTATTTATTCTTATACACATAAATAAGTACATACAATATGAACGCGAGAGAAAACTCTGCACTTTGTGAATAATATTGTTTGAAAACTGAAAATTGAATAAAGTAGAACCGAACGTCGAATGGCTATCCCCTGAAATGATGGTACAGCAATATAGACCCGGTACGGTGCAAGAAAAACCAATCTAATATTGCTAAGCGTTTAGATTAAATTGCATAGAAAATCAAACGCTCCTTTTAATGTTGTCGTGAAAGATTACTGCCGTTCAATTTAACTTTACATAGATTTTGACTTCGGCATTTTTCTAACCATCTATGCTATGGAGTGATAGCACCCACTAACTAAATGTGCAAATTTTAGAAGAACGTTCAAAAGAGTCTTAGTTTGTAGAATTTTGCCTAAGAACATAATCCGGATCTCACCTGTCCCCTTCGTTGCCACACATGTCCCCCATGTATCCTTCCCCAGTCCCCGTACCCCCTCTTGTCATTTCCCTGTCTCTCCCTAAACGTCCCCCAAAACCGGTAACCTGCCACAACTCACTTGTTCTCAAAAACTCGTGACCATAGGGTCACGCAAACCTGGTTTAAAGACCTTGGACGCATCTTCACCGAGTTATGCGTAATTCTAACGTGTGTTGCAGTAATATCCATTTGATGCCATCAACAGCAAAATTTTAATTTTTACTCTGAAATCTGCTGGATGTAAGACTGAGGTGTAATTTTCTATCCACCATTAGCATACTTTCTGAGTTTTAGTAGATTGTTTCTTAGAAACCGCCAAATCATTTATCATTCCTATGAATTATCGTATGAAGGTCATTAAATATATGGACGCTACAATAGTGCATAAAATGTATAATAAATACTCAAATAAATTTGAAGAACCGATGAATACATTTTCAAAGTATATTTAAGTCATAAGTGTCTTTAAAAGCGGAAACGTTATTTTTTTTAAACTTTGGCCCAGTTATTGAAAATATCTGAATAATAATTCACAACAACGGATGTTTTGAGATTGTTTACTTCTCAAATGTGTAATTCTTCAATAATATTATAATAAATATATCATTATTATCAATAGTTAAAACAATTTCACCTTTTAAATGTCTCCTTCATTTTCTTTTTATACTTTCGCCTCATTAAGATAATTGTAAATCTTGGCTTGAGGCCAATGTAGTTTTAGAAGAAACAAATCAAATTTTGTTAAATATTAAATATGAATAAATAATTCCGTTGACATTTATATTAGAGCCCCTTAAAAAAGTGATAATCAAACACGACAATCTTAAGGGATTAAGGGATTTTTGCCACCCACCTTGCATGATGCATGATACCGGACGTTCTGCAAGGAATGCTTTTGGCCCAAAACGACCTATAAACACAAAAGCAAATATTCTTTCTAGTGTTCACACGGCTGATGCTGGGGTTTTTGTAGTTGCTCTGGAAGAAAACTATACATCTGATATTTAAATTTATTTTCAATTTAACTAGTTCATCATCAAAACCAATTTTATATTTTCTACAGATTGAGAACCACTCCTTGAAAACTTTTGAAAAATGTCAAGTTGAGGGCCATTTGTTTGACACGTTTTGAAATTAAAAATTATCTTCAATATTATTTTTAAAATGAGGGATATGCCAACTATAATTATCTTATCAAATATTTTTTCTAACAAAAAATGTTCCGTTCCAACGCCCAATGGAGACAGGAGTAATGTAAAAATAAATCGCTTACATATTTTCGTTCTGACTTTATTTTTTTCATTTCAGGAAAAACAGCTTTGGCTTCATTATATCATTATTATTTTACAACTAAGTAAATTCTATCAACTGCTCTACGTTACTACAACGTATCAAAACAACCAATCTATCTACACTTTCATTATTCAAAAAAATTGTAGCAATTTTCCATTTCAGTGCAAGACAACACCTTGTAAAATTAATTTTTTTGAATGTACTTTTAATATTTACTTTTTTCTTTATATATTTCTGTCTGCGGATTTACTGGCAGGTAAATTCTACGGATCTTTGTGTGTACTTACGCTCTGATATTCTTGAGTCCTTTCAGTACAGTCTTTGAAATTGAGAATTCGAAGAGGTAATTCTGAAACAAACGAAATTATTTTAACATTGCATGAAGTAGAATAGCTTTGTGTTAAATGAATATAAATAACCCTCGTTTGAATGTTATATTAACTTCCAGCATAAGAAGTCTATTTACTGATAACATTAAAAGGTGTAATTTATTGACATATCTTAGAAACTACTCCCTAAGCTGTAACAGAATGTTTATGAAATAAAGGAGTGAATAGGAATTAATTTCACTACAATATGACTCACACAGATATTAAAAAACTCGTTATCAACATTCAATATAGGATGTTTGTTCACAAAATATTTATTAGAAACTTTTGAAAATTTGTAATGAATCTCTCTTCAAAATCGCAATATTTTTGACATGTTTTTCACTTAAGCAAACCTATCCCTGAGACTGTCGGTCAATGAAGGTGGTGAACACGTTTTTTCTGGCGACATATGCAAATCGTTAGATTTGAGGTCAGAGAAAATGAAAAATAATTAAAAACAGTATTGGAAGATTTCAATCTCTTTCTCTGGCTAATAGCTAAAATAAAATTAATATACATGAATTTTCTGTTATTAATGTCTCCTATTATTACGATAAAATGAAATGTAAGATAATTATAAAAGTGTAAAAATGAACTGCGTTTCAACTGAGGGAATTTCAAGTTTAGAATTTGGTTTAATTGAGTTGAAATGCTGAAACATATTTTTCAACATTTCAACATCTTCTGGTACGTTATTTGGTGGCAGAGTTTGGTGGCAATATTGTTAAAATTATTTTTTTTAAATAAAACCTCTCAGCACATAAATTGTGTTTCAATTTACCCTATATCTTAACCCATATCGCAAACGTGTTTAACGATATGGATATTTAAAAAAGAATTCTTAAAGTGGGCTTCCCGCAAACATTTTAAGAAATGGGTAATAAATGAAATTACTCCAAATAGATTGAACACGTTCTAATTTTACAAAAAGACACTTGTAACATCTTACACATAATAAATTGCATTATACGCCTTTCACATATTGTTTATATTGAACAAAAATCACGTGTGACAAATATCACGTATATAAGCACCTGGTTCCGCCCCCGCACATCTACACGAGACCACAGTAAACACATTAGGCATACCACTCATAGTTCTCCTACAGCCCTCTGAAATTTCTACACTGCAGAACAAGCACTCTGCATCATCTTGACCTGGAAGGGAATATATTTCTCGTAGAACTTTCAATTCGGAAGAGACAGTTGTTCGATTCGATGTCGGACTATTCCTCGAGGGAAGTAGAATCTTCCTTTTGATTTTTGCTTAACACCAGAATTTTGTTAAATCTCTCTATTTTAGACTTCTGAATTTTTCTCTTGACCTCTTTCTTCTACCTGACTTCTCGAACTGACGAGCTTCATAGTAAGTTCTTGCTTTTTATGACCATTCTAAGCTTTCAGGAGTGTCAAAAACATTAATTGTTTTTATTTTACGAGACGAAATATCGGAGGCCCGCGTAAGGAAACTTTGTAAGGATCTAGTTGGCCACTAACGTTTTTATATTCGAAATGCCAATAACATGTTTACAAGACAAGTAAAATAAATTGCATGATCGTAGATCAATAATTCGTAATACCTCCTTCCAAATACTGTAATGGTTAGCAGACTTCTCGATGAATTATCGAAATCAGGCAACTGAGAATAAGCACTTGAAACAACTTTGTTTTTCACTGTTCGCAGTAATGGGCGATTGTTTGGCAACAAGTGAAGATGAAGACACTACCGCTTGACTGGGCTGCTATCCTGCAAATAACTACAATTTTATTACGTTTCTAATAAGCAACAGCACACTACAGAGCTGCAAATCAAGGGGCTCGCATTAGGAAGCATGTCAGTGTTTGGATTTTTCCTCTAATGCATACCATTAGATGCTCGATTTGCTTATATTTTGTTATTTTCGTAAACATGCATAGTACATTTATAAATTATATTGACAGCATAGTTTTCCTAATATCTATATCTTTGGCTAAATTACAGACCAATGTTTACTATCGAAGTCGCAACAATTGTTCTGGGTTTACGTCAGTTTCGTAGGGTCCTAGATAGAGATCTATGCAATGAGAACACTGAATACATTACATATGCCCTTATTTGGTTGGTTTATTATAAAAGAAAAGTTCGTCTAGTGCAAAGAGCAACAACCTCCCGTACACGGATGTTTAATCTAGTGGCAAAATGTGCAAGAAGAAGTAAATATATTTGTTTGAATGTTCTAAATTCTCACACAGTTGAATTATTCTAGGCCTAATAAAGGCTTCTCAAATTTATATCTAATCAAAAAGGTCTCTAGATGGAACTGTAAGGGGCGCGGGCGTGATAATTTTAGTACGTCTGCTGGGTTAGAGAAGCAAGTAGAGTTCGGAAGCAGAGCAGCACAATGAACATGTCATTCGTAGAAGTAACGGAAAGAAACTGCATAATAAAGGACATCTACAATAATGTTTTGAAGAGTGAAATATTCTTCCCTCAAATTTCTCTTAGAAAAGAAAACTATAATAAAAATAAATTGATTACTCCAAATAATGTTCGACATAAAATAGAGTTATAGGAAGTGAAGTAAATTATACTGTGTTTGTGTTCAAATAATAGATCACCTAGTATAAATTGATCTGTGATTGAATTTCATACAAAGATCAAGGATTTCTTATGTTAAGTGTATCACTACTGTTGTAAAGACCAAAGAAAAACTTTACCGAGTATTCAGCAAGTTAGGTTTTCCTTTTTTTACTATCTAAAGTGAAAAAATCTAATTTTGTTATGATTGCAAATGTACGATTATACATGAACACAAATATTTCACTTCTGCAATGAACTTATTTATTCTAGCTTTTTTGGTCTCAACAATTCACCTGTGATATTTCATTTTTTCTGGCAAAATACGACTTTTAAATAACGATTATTTCAAATTATTGAAATTTAAACGATTCCGAAAAAAGAAGTTAACAACTTAATACTACGCTTCACTGCTAGCTTTTTCTATCATTAAAAGTTTCGAAAATAAATAATTATATTTAGAGTAAACTGTTGCAAATTTCCCGTTGCATTGAATAAGGCAATGTAATTCAAATCTTGGTTGGATATCGCACATATGGGCTATCACGTAATTCTGGTAAACTGAGATAAAAATTACGTCTTAGATCACGAGGAGTTTCAAAAAACTATTAGATCAATAGTTTACAAAAGCTATTGAAAAAAATAAACCAATTACAACTCATAAAAGTGAATACGAATGATTTTCATGATCACGATCAAGTAATTTATTTTATTTTGATTACTTCTAACACCACTCGCTGATCTACACTCCCAAAGTTTAACGCTTTAGTTTAGATATAAGTCATATATACTACACTGAGATAACATTTTCGGTTAATAATACACATTGATTAGTAGTCGGTACATCTTCGTTAACGGGAAACAATTCAACACAAAGAAACAAATTTTTGATTAGAACAATCATTTTTGACTGATATTTATTAATTTTGTAGAATAAAAAGGAGAGAGTACGTCTACGAATTGTGCATACGTTCACCATCACAAAGATGGGCGCGTTGCAATATTTTCTGTATTGTAGTACCGTCAGGCGTAAACAAAATATGCCTCGGTGGTAATTGTTATCAGTTCTTATTAGTGATTATTGATATTTCAATAAACCAATACACTACAAGTGTTCTTCAGACTTGTATTTCTGAGATACATGGCCATGCTAGAAGACATGAATCCCACTGAATACGTGTGGAAAAGTTGGCGTAGAAGGTGAGTATCGAAGAAAGACACTTTATATCAGAATTTTGAAATCCTGGTAGAAGTAATACAGTGATGAAAACAATTGTGCAATATCCATGCACCCTCTTTAACGGTGCTTTTTCTCAAATAAATGAGGAATACTAATGTCATTTTACATTCTTAGACAGTGAACCTTGCGCAGAGGCGTAAAGCTTGCTTCTTACCAACATTCTCATCTATGCATGCTATGCTTAAGCTCAAGAACATACTTGCTTTGCCTTCGTCAAAACTGTGTGCCGAAATTCGTCTTGATGTTTATGCAAACTATTGTAAATACATTTTTATGTTGATTAAAAATTTACAATTGTGAAACCTTATTTTACCGACGCCAGAGACGAATACTAGAAGTATCAAATACCAAACTATTCTGTTGGCACTTAACGTATTTTTCCTGGGATGTGTGAAACTACTTCCAAAACTAATTTCTTTCCGTTTCATTGTGAACATGATATTTTCAATAACTGAGAAGATACAATAGGAATACACTTTATCTTAAAAATAAGATAAGTAATAAGATTGTAATGAAATTACCAATTATCTGTTATATATAATTATGGTTTGTCTTACACTACATGCTATAAGAATATTTCTTTTATGTCCATATAATCATTTTCTAAATATATTCTTTACATTTGGAATTATTTTAAGATTTCAGACATTTAAAACGTATTTCTGAAATGAGCAGTTATTGAAATGCAACTTGTCACGCGAAATACAATTTTTTCAATTACGATCTGTATCCCGATTTTATGAATTTTATTTAACCAATATTTGCGTGAATTGATAATATGCTTTAAGGCCAATGTACTTCTGTGTGAAAGTTTATGCTTGGATAATATCCACTTTTTCGTATTTTAAATTGATGTAATCCTTTATTTATTTTTATATTATGCGCATTTGTCGATTTACATCCACAAAAAAAACTTACTATATTCATTCACAATTGTGCGCAATACTCACCCAATATATTAAACAAACCTCTGGCGTGTGAGTATAAAAGTACAAATAAAATCATTGTAATATTTCTCTTCTCGTTTTGTACTCAATAACATAGCAATTCTGCGAACCGCTGAATGAACGTCGTAGTACTACGAGTAAGGTAAATATATAAAACTAATATTTTTTATGAAAACAACATACGCACAGAATAAGTACTGCAATTTTGAAGAGATGATACACTATTAACAACGAG